TGCTCAAAAATGAAAGGAGCATCGGGAAAATGCTAGCGTGTGTGGAGCCCTAACAGATTGTACGCGAAAAAAATGCAATACAATAAAACAAATGTCAAAGCAAAGAGCAGAGGGGAAGGGGGGTGCGCGCTGGCGGCCGCGCCTTTCGCGGACGGGCAGATGGCGCACTTCACTTCTGTTACACGAGAGCGAAACAAGAAACCAAGCACCGAGCAAACGGGGAAATTCAAAACTGGCTAAGCTTTGATAACTCGCTGATGATCCGAAAGATGATCACTAATTAGAACATAGCACATAGTTTTATTTGAAGGAATTACATTCTTGAAAGTACAATAGCAAGCCGGTGAATGCCTCAAGGGCCTGTGGACCTGGCTCGGCAGGTGGCGATACAACAGAAATACACATTGTAGTAAGGTACGTTCTTAAGAAGAAGAAAGAGTTATTTGACTTTCAAAATGCACACGTTCTCGGAATCAGATGTCAATTTTTAGGGCTAGAAAAAATGAAAAAAAAAAATCTTTGATAAAACAAGAAAAAAAAAAAAAAAAAAAAACAGCAGCAACAAACCTTTACCTCACAGATCTGAATTCCGTAATGGCTTCCTGAGCTTTTGCTTTGACGTTAGGGATTGAAAATATTCCGGTCGGCTGTTAAATATTTGCAGAACGTAATACACTATCGTGCGCTCAACATATTTGGTTCTGATCCGGGGCATTTGTGAAGGAAGCGATGGCCTCATAGGTCGCTGCGCAATGTAGGCTGTAATAAAACTCGAATTCTAGAAATGGCGAACCACGACAGTTTCCATAAAGAGACCCCTAAAATATGAGAGACGGAGCTCTTGAAATATACACGCGCTTGAGACGTTTGGCTAGTCAAACGAAACACTCTTCCAAATACCTCGAAGCAAGGTGTCAATTCTTGCACGCTATGAGCAGGAGCACCCCATAAAGATGGTAGCACCGTATCGTAAATAGCTGTAAGTCAAAGCATGCGTTACCATTTTTCGCACAGAGGAAGGCAGAAACATTGTTAACTTATTGTTTTCTCATAGTTAGAGAGCGTTGTTTAGCAGCTGGACAACCCTGCTGCCTTCCACGTTCATTCGCGCGCACTCCTTTGAAGTGCGAAACACGGGTTTGCTTCGGCACTAAAACCCCCATAGCAAGATTCACTTCTCCATTCTCCTCTTATGCTTTGCTCCGACGCTTGTCTTTTTATACTGCATTTTTACGTGTGAGTGCGCCTTTTACTTCGTCTTTGTTCCGATGCTTGTTTTCTGTGCTAAATGTTTTACATTCAAGTGGGTTGAGTTATAAGCAAGCTCGATGATGCCCGCTCATTTCCCTTGACTTTAGTCTCTGCATACCTTGTTTCACCTTGCGATGGACCGCTTCGGGCGCTATGAGTCACCCTAGGCAGTCCAGCACCGTGAGCTTAGTAAAATCCGTCCTGGTTTGAGGCATTTATCCTTTTTTTTCAATTGTCTATGCATTTGTTGATGTCAGCTTTATGCTGCTTATGCCGGCGAATACAGTGTGGCTCCCAAGTGCAAAGTTTTACGTTTAGGAATTAGAGGAATTGAACGGAACGATTCAGCCATTCCAGGAGTGGGAATGGGTCCAGTGTCCCCATTCCTAGGAGTTGAAAGGAATTGAATTATTGAAAACTCTAATTCCCGAAATGGAACTGAAATATAATGGGGGTGCCCATTCAGCAACACTGGTACATTGCCTCACTATAGCCCAAGTTGAGCGGTACGATGGTATGCCAAAGTTTGTTGTTTCTCCGGTCCGCCACAGGAGTGCCGAAATAGGGACATACTTGAGCCATAACTGCCAGAGGAACGCCTAATTTGGGTATTTCGAATAATATAGCTTCTCGGTAATAAACGAGGTCTTGACAAATCGGTTTTTGGAATTAAAGAAACTCTGGAGTTAATATTCTCGTTACAAATTTAGTTTACCAGACGGACACTATTGGTGGTCGCGTACCACTACCGCACATACACTCTCGCTTTGAGTCCCGCTGTTAGACTCCCGCATAGTTTTCATGAGCAGCTTGGTCTCGCCCAAGGCTGAAACCCAATCCGCATCCTGCCCGACACCAGCCAGTCATGCCTTCATGGCACAGGCATCCACGTGCGAGATTCCTGGCGCCGAGGACTTGGAATAAATTGCAATCTTCGGAGGACTCAACCTCGCGCCCAAAGAAATAGAAGAAAAAGGCAAAACACAATGGCGCTTGCTTGAAATACGCTTGGCAAAATAAAATAAAAGAACCTATACAGAATGGCGCTCGCTGACATTCGGGCAACCTGGCATTGTTAACGTCCTCGTTAGCGACAACAAAAACCAGTGCTTATGCAAATTAATAAAGATTAATCTTTCATGGTTCTTAATAATAACATAATATGAATACACGGAAATTGACACAAAATATACGTGAACAGCACAATAAACGCATAAAGGCTGCAATGCACGTTATGCAACAAAAACAGAAGCAACAACAAAATCGATACAAGCGAAAAAAAAGTATGTGTTGCAAGTGCGCTCACTTCGGAATTGCACGCTTACGTGCTGAGCACCTCGGGAGCTGGACGGTGACTTCCTCCCTGGCGGATTCTGCTTCTTCTGACGATGATGTGTCGTCTTCCAAGTGTGTTTTCTTGGTTGTCGACGTCCATCCCTTCAACTGGGAAACATGCGCCGTAGTTGCGAATCTACTGGCCTTGGTCTTGTCAAGCTCAGTGACGCGATATGTGTCGGATGGACGAACCTGCGTCACAACCAAAGGCCCTCTGTACTTCGGTTGAGCCTTCGTTGGCTTGCCTGTTGGTTTATTAGCTTTTCTCATAAAGATTATGTCTCCGACATTGTACAGTCGCGCAGGGGAGTGTCTTCGGTCGTATGCGGTTTTCAGTTTTTCCTGTTCCTCATTGAGGTGCTGTCGCACCTGTTCCCGCATTTCCTCGGGGTCCTGCCTAGCCGGTCCGTCAGCTTCGAAGAGCCGTTTTAATGCGGTGTTTTGAAACTCTGGTTGATATCCGTGTAGCATCTCGAAGGGAGTCCTTCCCGATGTTTTGTTCACGGAATTCTTCAAACTACACTCAGCTAAATTCAACTTTTCGTCCCAGTCGCGCTGCTGGGGGTCTGTCATGAAGGTTGTGATGAAAGGAAGTACTGGCGGGTGTCGTGTAGAGTTAAGCACGTGGAGTATGGTTCGTTCACCGCAAAACTCGTCAAATTCTCAAGAAGTAAAACAACTGCCTCTATCTGTAATTAGGGTTCTCGGCAGGCCCCTTTCTAGGATAAACTCCTGCAGAGCCCGCAGTACGCGCTCGGTCGATGTGTCGCGCGCTGCGAAGGGTCTCACAAATTTTGTTAGGTTGTCAATGATGACAAGTAGGTATTGGTTTCGCTTCTTACTTTGCCCGAATGGACCCATGTGATCCAAGTGAACTACCTCAAATGGTCGCGTGCCTGGTGGTATGGGATTGAGGAGACCTTCTGGTCTGCCAGCATGTATCTTGTTGGAAATGCACTCAAAGCACTGTGTAATGTGTTTCCGAACGTAGTTCCGCATTCCCGGGAACCAGAATTTTTCTTGGATCTTGGCAACTGTTCTGTTAAGTGCGAAGTGACCTATTAAGTCATGGGACTGCATTACTACAGCATTCCGCATACACTTGGGCAGCACGAACTTGTACTTTTTCTTGCCGTCGTGTTCGATTACTCTTGTGAGCCTATCATCCTTCAGAACGTAGCCGCTCACTTTTCCCTTCTCCTGCCCGGTCCGACAGTGTTCCGGCTTTTCTAGTATGGCCACCAGTTCTCGTAGCTCTTCATCTCCTCGTTGTAACACTAGCACTTGGTCTGCAAGGTCATAGGTGAGGCAGACCTCGAAGCGGTCCTCAAGGACAGAGTCCATCGTGTCCACCGGCTCCTCAACTGGGCCTCGGCTAAGTGAGTTCACATGAAGCATCCGTGATCCAGGACGGTGCCTGATTGAAAAATCAAAATTCTGGATCAAATAATACCACCTTGCAATCTAGGGCTTCTGTGTTCGTTGTGCATTAAGGTACACGAGAGCCTGGCAGTCAGTCACAATAGTAAAATAAATGCCAAGTAACAACGGTCTAAGCCGATCCACCGCCCAAACGATAGCCATCATCTCGAGCTTCGATGAGTGATAATTTCTCTCGGCGTCGTTCGTTCTTTCGCTTACGCAGTAGACGAGCTGTCACTCGTCGTCTTTCCGTTGAAGGATTATTGCTGCCAATCCCTTCGCACAGGCGTCTGTATGCAACTGCGTCTCCGCATTCGGGTCGCACAGTTGAAGTACAGGTTCACATGTTAGTTTTGACTTCATAACTTGGAAACGTTCCTCTTGCTCAGGGTTCTAGTCAAATTTCCATTCTTCTTGTTGAGCCTTGTGAGGGGATCGGCGATTAACACATACTTCGGGACGAAGCATCGAAAAAAGCTCGTCAGTCCCGAAAATCGTCTGACATCATGAGGGTTCTTTGGGACCGGGAATCCTGTGATTGTGCGTACCTTGACTGCGCCGGGTTGCACCGCTCCGTTCTTCAGTCGAAAGCCCAGAAAATCCACACTGTCTCTTTCGAAAGCGCATTTGCTCAAGCGAAGGGTTTAATTCGCCTTCCTGAAGGCTTCGAGGATTTGGCACAGCCGCGTGATGATATCATCCCAATTTTTCGCTGGAATCAGCACATCATCCAGGTAGCACCTATAGCGATCGTTTCCCTCAGCTGCTTCAAAACGTGGTTCATGAGACGCTGGAACACAAAGGGAGCATTCGTGAGTCCAAACATCATCCTCTCAAATTGACCTCCCTCGTCCGGAGTGATGAAAGCTGTCTTCTTCGCGTCGTCACTCAAGGGAACCTGAAGGTAGCCGTGAGCGAGGTCTCGAACTGTGTACATCACTGCTCCGGATAATTTTTCGAGTTGATCACCAATGCTTGGTACGGGGTATTTTTTATTTTACGGTCTGGGCGTTCAATCGTCGATAGTCCACCACTAGACGCTTCTCTCCGTTCTTCTTCTGAACAAGGATCACGTGACTTGCGTAAGCGGAATGCGTCTCGCTCACAATTCCCTCTCGTTTCCATTCGCTGACGATCTCGAGAATCGTTTCTCTTTCTGCCACGTTTGTTTGGTAAGGCCGAACCGCAACTGGTGAGCTTCCCGGCACTTCCGGGGTGTCTATTTCAAGGACATTTGTGCACCCAAGCTCGCTCAAGTTCGTAGCGAAGCACTTCCGATACTCGTTCAGGAGGTCAAGGAGCTCATTTTTTTGCCCCTCGGTCACCGACGGACCTACTTCGACCTGATTCTCGGCTATCGGCTTCCGAATTGCCGAGATCAAAACCCCTTCTTTCTCGGTTTCGTAACTCTCTTCCGCTCGGTTTCTCTGGTTGTCCTCCTCACCGGGTCTGTTTACTATGCCGACCGCAGTGACACGTCCAAGACGGTGTCCCTTTTTAAGGACTACATTGTTATTTCCGCTTTGGAAAACTGGAACATCAATCTCTCCATCTTTCATGTCGAGAAGAATTTCTTTTCAACAGTTGTTAAAAAGGACGGGGCCAGTGACATCAGATTCTGATGACAGCGTGATCCAATTTATCAAGTTCGCCTGGACCGTGGACCTTTCGGTTGTCTTTACAATCAACTTGGGATCGTCGCTCAAGGGTTCGAGGTGAGAGAAAGGGCACTGACTCTTGTGCCAAAAGCGTAGACATCAGCCCAGCCCAGCATAGGTCACGTACGGGAGCTCGGTGAAAGTTCGACCAACGAGCAGGTCAACCGACTGGGCCTCGTCTAATACAACAAAAAATGTGATGTTCTTCCCCGTAACACCGTCAATATCCAAGTCTGCTCTGCATTTACCAATTGTCCTTACTGCTGCGACGTCCTGGTTGCCGAACCCATAAGGAGTGTTGCGTCTCTCATCAGCTCAGCACCGCAACGCGCCGCTGCAGACGCTCGGTTTCTCTGGTTGTCCTCCTCACACGCGCGCAAGAGGCATCGGGAACTTCCGGTGTAAATCATTCCAACGAGTTTTTTGTCGTCATTCCATATAACTTGCTTAAGGAGCACTTCAGAGAAACTCCTCTCTTTTGAGTTGCTTACGGTGTTGGTCTCACTCCTTGGAGCTCCTTTGATGCAGTGGCGCTGAGTGTGCCCGGTTTTTCCACACCTCAGGCACTTTAGTGGGCGCTTTGGGTCTGGACAGTCACGCGCGATGTGACCGAACCGTGAGCAGCTGTACCACTTACGCTCACCCTTTTCGTTGAGTATTGGTGATCTCTAATCCTTGTTGTCTCTCCCGTCAGCGGTATTCTTGACCGACGTCATACCCGGGTCTCGGTTTCGCAGTGTGTCGGTAGTCGCCCCTTTTCCACGCTGTCCACCGAAGCGCTCTTGTCGCTCCCGTTCAACCCTTTCGAATTCCTGTATGTCGTGTAGGACGTCATCACCGTCCTTGTGTGTTCTCCCCATTAACATGGCGCACAGCCTTCGCGAACGCAAGCCGGTGAGTACTTGCTCGCGAATACCGCAGATGTCGAGGTGTGCCTCTCCACAAAGACGAATCTTCGAATCGAAGTAAGCGATCGTGCTCTCGTTTCGCTGCTGGACGCGGTCTTGAATTCTTCTCTAGCGTTCCGCTGCTCGGGTCTGGCTAACAATTGTTCGTCGAAACTGGTACTCTAGAACTTTCCATGACGCAATTCCTGCATGGCGTGAGCGTAAACAGTCTTAGGCAGCTCCTGTGAGATGTGATTTTGCCGTTTCCAGGAGGAAAGGTGTCGGCCTCTTATGAAGAGTCGCCGTCCTCTTTAGGTTCTCAGTATAGTCTCGCACTGCTGCTGCGTCCTCACTTCCGTCGAAATTGGATATGTTCTTACTGAGGTCAGGCATCACCTGGAACGTCGCCACGCCGCTCACGTCCGCTGCACCTGACTGCGCCGGAAGGGCAAGTCGTCCCAAGAGGTCTGTTAACAAACGATCCTTTTCTCTAATAATTCCCAAGGGCTCGTGCATAGAAAACTCGTCCCCCATGGAGTGAGCAACTTTAGGCGAACCCACCTGGCTCGGAGACGCTCCCCATGCTTCCTGGTTCATGGTGAAGCGTTGAGCTGTATACATGTAATTACACCCAACCAGTGTTGGACAAAATACTCGACAAAAGTGTTTAACTTAAGTTACTAAATACCTGCGTCATAAAGAATTTCAAATACTACTCAAGTTACTTTCACTGTAAAGTATCTTGAGTAGAGTACAAATACTTAGAAATGTATTTCAATTACTTATGAAGATACTTCCGCACTGCTTAATTTGTGTCGACGTCATTGACAACGACAATTATGCAGCTATGCAAATCTTGGTTACCAGAATGGGTTATTAGCACGCAACAACACAAAATGCGAAAAAAAGTATCGTAGGGCTATTTTAAGCAGTCCGACTATAAAGAGCAAAATGTTGTCACAAATGATAAATGATGAGGCGGCGAATAACTCAAGAAACTAAACGTTTAACAGAGAGAACTTGTTCCCGAAACGAAAGAGAGAAAGGCTAGCGTCGCAGGCGTCCATGTCGGCGAAACATTAGGATCGACAGCTGGGACGAGACTGAACTCCGGACCGTCACTCGGAGCACCTTTTGTACCCCCGTGTTTTTCTGGAATATTCGGCGTAGGACGTTCGGCGCGTAGAACATCCGTAACTCGATCAGACGACAAAATTCTTGAACTTACCAGAATGTCAAGTTGAAGAAATAAATAAAAGATAAGTCCGCTTTGTGGTATCGAACCCGGAGACTCTGCGCCAGAGCCAAGCGCGGCAACCATTCGGCCAGGCGCTCGCTGGGCAAGGCATGTGTCAATATAAGTGATATGTTACAAAACATTTCTGGGACAACAAGAAAGAGGTCGCTTTAGCTATTGGGGTGGAGATCAGACCGTGGTGCCCCAAGCTGTTAACTTTAGAACTAGATGGATGGGAACAACAAATACAATGGCTCAGCGCTCGCCTGACTTGACCGAACGCGGCGTCAGCGTTCGGCTGGAGTTCGTGTTCTCCGGTGAGGGGGAGGAGGGGCTCTTTTGTTACCACTCGGGCCTGCATGAACAATGCAGCAATGCCCAGCTCAGCACAAAAGCCCAAGTTGGTCAAGTTCGCATAATCCGACGACTACTTTCGGGGGGATCCGGTACTTAACGTCACTTCACTAATTGTTGGTATTTTTTGCTTACACTATGCTCCGCGCTCTATTAAAAAAGATAACACGAACATGCCCACAAGGCCTTTGGGCATGTGCAGAGGCCTTGCGTTGGGTAAACACCGAGGGGTGGGGGTGAAAAACGGGTCGGAGCGCTTCACCAATAGCGACATCATTGAATATCACATCCTGTGGTGCACCTTAGACGCATCGTTTAACTACAATCCATTTTCCCTTTACTATAAACGAACCTGAGACATGGATATGAGTGAATGGATAACAAAGAGAACCCACATAATAGCCACGGCAGTGGTCGCACATTCTTCAAGTAGGTTGCGTTCAGAAAAGCACTAAACGTGGGGGAACACTTTGTTGGTATTTTGAGAGGTCACCCAGCTCCTAGTTCGTTTCCTGCACTGTTCTCTGCTCATCAATGTTCGCTTACAGACAGTGTTCACGAGAGCAATAAATGCCAGACTGACAACACAAAAAAAGGAAATAAGAAAGCTTGACGTTTCAGCTTAGCGGGGCCAAATATACAAAGAGCAAGACAAAAATGTGTACTTTTTTGTGGGTGTCCACTTCTCATTTTCCTCTATTCTTGACACTTAAGTCTGCATTGTTCTCGTAGGTCGTTTCCGGGACTGCTTGCGCCTCAGGGTGGCATCTTTACTTTCGTAAAACCACACCTTTGTTTTGAGGATTTTTGGGAAGTAAACTTTATAGAAACAAAAGGCGCCTTTAGGAAGGCGAGAGAAGAACCTTCATTGTACGAACTTAGGGCTGAATAATGGGTCACAGTCGGCAACAAAAAGCGACATTTTCACGAGCTCAGTTAAAGTCACTCTAGCTAATCGGAGCTAGCAACAGGATTCGGTTCCTCGAAAGAATGTTCACGTTTGCCCTTGCCACTCCCACCCGACTTCACACCGAAAAACTCGGAGAATGGCGGAATGTCAAAAATGTATTTAAGATAATGAGTACAAGATACTCGGAATTGTAATTAAAATAGAGTATTAAATACTCTCCATCAAAGGTATTAGCAAGATACCAAGATACTCCCCAAAGTATTTAAGATACAGTATCTTGAGTAGAGTATTTGAGATAGGCACAAGTCTGCACCCAACACACAGGCTCGCACAAGCAATATAAAGCCACAACATAATACACTACATCTCATACGCAAAATACAAACTCTATTGATAAATAGTTCCACAGGGAGATGAAAAATCCGACAGTACCTGAACCTTGAGTTCCGCACACTGGGAAGCCCCAATCGCGCAGGCACTCCCACACACGTCGCCTACCTGCCGCACTGTGGGTCGCTCCAGCCTGACTCTGATCGCACTTGACTCGTCGATCCAGGGTCCGCGTGTTTGGATTCCCGACGCACTAGATTGCTGGTGTCACTCTTGGGAACGCTCTTTGGTCCGAGGAGTTGGTTGGTGATCCCACTTCTGATATGTAATCGTATGGTTGTTTCGAATAAAATAACTTCTTGATAATAAACGAGGTCTTGAAAAATCGGTCTTTTGAATAAAAGGAACACTGGATTTAATATTCTCGTTACAATTTTAGTTTACAAGACGGACACTATTGGTGGTCGCGTACCACCATTGCACACAGACTCTCGCTTTGAGTCTTGCTGTTAGACTGCCGCATAGTTTTCTTGATCAGCTTGGTTTCGCACAAAGCTGTAATCCGATCCCCATCCTGCCCGACGCCAGCCAGTCACGCCTTCATTTATTTATTTATTGATACTGCCGGCCGCTAATACGCAGCCAAGGCAGGAGATATACACAATAAAATGCACTCGAAAATAAAATACATAGGTGTGGTGGCGTTACAACTCGTAGAGGAATAAAGGGCCAACAGATGCCCTTGATAGGATTCTTCCCATGCAAAGAATGACTACACAAAAGGATCTTTTACAACTACACGTCACAAAAACACACGCAAACATAAAAACACAGTACAAACCTATAAAAAAAAAGAAATATCTAAAGCATGACTAGTAGAAAAGCACAATCACAGACAATTAAACCAAATCATACGCATGTAATATCAAACAACATCCGATTCATTTAACTTGACTGTGAACGACAATACGCAATCTGTGGAGGCGATTTCTTGTGGGAGCAAGTTCCATTTATGAATCGTATGTGGAAAACAGGAATATATGAAGCAGTCAGTTCTACACCTTGTTTCAGTGAAAGATTTGCGGTGCTTGTTCCTTGTTGGCATACTAGTATTGAAATGAAGGTAATTGCTGTAGTCCAAGTTGAAATTGTTATTTAATAGGTTGAAAATGAACTTCAGTCGGCTAATTTTTCTACGCTTTTGTAATGGGACACCGCTCTGGACACAAAGTTCTGAGATTCATGTGTTTCTACCGTATCTGTTAAAAATAAATCGCAGCGCTTTTTTCTGAATTCTTTCCAACTTATTAAAATTTGAATTTGTGTGTGGATCCCATAACACATTTGCGTATTCCATCAAAGACCTGACGAATGTCTTATACGCGATTAGTTTTGTATTGTTGGAACAGTCTTTTAGTCGCCGTTTTAAAGTCCATAATGTGCCCATTGCCTTGTGAGTAATGAAGTCAATATGTGGATTCCAACGCAGATCAGACGTCCAACGCAGATCAGACGTCAGGTATTTGTATTGGGGTACTGTGTTGAGCGCGGTCCGCTGGAGGCAGTAGCTGGAGGGTAGTTGATTTTTTTTCCTGGTTATTGTCATATGAGCACATTTCTTACAATCAAGGGACATTTGCCAGGTGACGCACCATGTAGAAATCATCTCGAGACTCTTGTTTAGAATATTTTGATCGTAAGAACATTTCGCTTCTTTATAAATAATACAATCGTTAGCAAATAAACGAATTTGAACAGAGGGGTCTACTTTAAGGTCGTTTATAAAAATAAGGAAAAGCAGTGGTGCCAGTACGGATCCTTGGGGTACCCCGGATCCAACTGCTGCTGTCGAGGAACGAGCGTCTTGTATTTGAACGAACTGTTTTCTGTTGCCTAAGTATGCTTCTATCCATCTTAACATCAGGTCGTTATTTAGTATTGCTCTGAGCTTAAGAAGAAGCTTTTTGTGCGATACTCGGTTGAATGCCTTCGCAAAATCTAAAAAAGTACGTCCGTCTGAAGGCCTGAATCAATTGTTTTTGCAAAGTCGTGGATCGTATGCGCAAATTGTGTAATCGTTGATAGATCCCGTCTAAAACCATGTTGCCCCGCATTAAAAAAATATTTTCTCCAAGAAAGGAAACAATATGCTTGAATAAAACGTGCTCAATTACTTTTACGCTACTGCATAGTAGAGACACAGGTCGGTAATTAGTAACGCAACGAATATCACCTGCTTTGAAAATAGGGACAATTTTGGCAGTTTTCCAGTCATCGGGGATTTGCCCTAGTTCAATTGATTTGTTAAAAAGAACCAATAAATAGTTAGAACATGACTCAGCATACCTTCTCAAAAATATGTTTGGAATCATATCAGGCCCCACTGATTTTTTAGTGGTAAGGTTTAGTAATGCCGCAAAAATGCCTTCTTTGGTGAACGTAATGTGCGGAATGTGATGTTGGGGCGACCCACTCTCTGGAGTTTGATGATTGTCGGAAGTATATACCGAGGAAAAGTATTGATTGAACGCGCTAGCAATCTCAAAAGGATCGTTGATATCTACTCCGTTTTGTTTTATAGTACAGACTGGTTGCTTTGATTGGGTTATATATCGCCAAAACTTCCGAGGATCCGATACCAAAAATTTCTCCAAATTCACGTTATGGAAGTATTGTTTTGACATATGGATCATTGCCCTTAGTAGCCTACGCAGATGTGATATATTAAGCCTATTTCTTTTCCGCTTCTTAATTCGAATCCTATTAATTTTTCGCTTAAGATGTAAGATATCTCGGGTTATCCAGGGGTTCCTTTTTCGTATACGTTTGCAACGTGTTGGTACAAACCGGTCAATAGAAGTGTTCACTGTGCTTTTAAACGAGAACCATAGGTCATTGATAGTTATTTCGTGTGTACTTAGTTCACAAAAATTTTCAAATGCCAGTTCAAGGTGGTCTAAAATGCTTTCATCTAGCGCTCGTGTGTAATTAGGAACTTTGACTACCCGGGCTGCTTCCTTAGTATTCAGCCCTCCATTGAATTCGCACCAAATTAAGCGGTGATCTGATATTCCTTCCCGAACATAACCATTAAACGTTTTGTTAGAAAGCTCATTAGATATAAAAATTAAGTCAAGCATGGTGCTACTTGATCTTGTGATTCTCGCTGGACACGTGACTATTTGTGACAAGTCGTTTGCAAACGCCATGCTTGTCAAAAGCTCCGAATGCCGGCAGTTAGGGTTCAAAGGTGCCAAGGTTTCCCAGGTGATGTTGGGAAGATTAAAATCTCCTGCGATAATCATGTTTGCAAAACGAGGACTTTGAACATTTACAAAATCACATAGGCTTTCTAGTACACCTCCAGGAGCATTCGGCGGCCGATAGACGCCTCCAACGAGAATTGGGCTGTTATTAATGAGCATTTTCACCCAAACCGACTCTCTGTTTGCAGTATCTTGAAGTAGGGTTGCATTTATATCTTTTTTAATAACTATTGCTACACCTCCCCCTCTCAAGTCACGATCTTTACGAAATATTTGGTGCGTTGGTAGGATAACTTCATCATTTATAATGCTGGAGTGCAACCAAGTTTCTGTTATTACAATTATGTCCAGATCTTCAGACAGTAACATGTATTCAAGTTCAACAGTTTTATTTGCTATGCTCTTGCGTTGACATTGATAAGAGTGAAGGAGCGCGATTCTAAACACCGATGTCATTCATCGTGAGGCTGCCCGTCTCTGGCTGTTCGCTGCCTCGTGCTTATCAGAAGGCGAGTGTTGTTTTCAGTGTCCCATTGATAACATGAGTTGCCGACAATCAATTTGTCATATTTAAGTATTACTTTTTCGCCCTTGTCACGTTCTTCCTTGGAGCTGTTCCAAAGTAACTTTCTTTTCTCTTTGATGTGAAACGAGAAGTCTTCAGATATTGAAATTCTAGTACCTTTCAGCCTAAGCGCGTTTTTTAGTATATTTTCTTTCACATTAAACTCCCGAAGCTTCATGATTACCGGCCGTGGCTTTCCTGTTGATGGTTTTCCAATCCTATGCAGCCTCTCTACCTGAGAGTTTTCAATGTCCAGTTTGTCGCGTAGAATTTCCGAGACGACAGCTTGCTCTAAGTCACTTTTAGTTTCGTTTTGGCTTTCAGGAATTCCGAAAAATACTAAGTTGTTCCTGCGCATTCTATTTTCTAAATCGTCTACCTTATTCTCTAGGGAGCCGATTGTTTGCTTCAAAGTACCTATGGTAGTGGAGCAAGCGTCATTTTTTGTTTCAACGTTTTTGAATGATCCGACACACTTTTCAATCGCAGTCATTCTAGCTTCGACTTTACGTGTGTTCGATTTGATTTCATTGATTGCTCCAACGATGTCTTGCTGACCTTCTAAAAGTTTGTGCAGCGTTTTGTCTATTTCATCCAAAGTGATTGGTCCCGGGTTACTGTCAATGTCCCCCGAGAGCAAAAGAAGATAACAAACAACGTCAACGCACTCCGAAGCAATACATAGTAGCCTTTGTGGGTGTGGCAGCACAATAAGACACAGGGCGTCACTTTTCAAGCCATAATGGCGTTTGCCACTAACCTGTATGATGAAGAGTGGTGTTATCATCCTGCTGCGCTGGCCGCCACACCCACTGAACCGATCCACGCTCGTCGTTGCTGATATAGTACTTTTCGATGACGTTGCCGATGATGGTCGCTTGGTGACGCCTTGATCTGTGCGGACGAATCCGTTCGTGGTTCGTGGGGGCGGTAGCCCTGGCAGTCGGACCGACGTGGCGAAAAATGCCCTGTCGGAGAAGCCGCCCATGGCTCGCGTGGTATCGCCGGCTGCCGCGAGGCTCGTGCTGTCCGTCTTTTCGGTGTTGGTCCCTCCAGCCAAGCTCGGCGGTAGTGATCCCATCAGTAGGGCAATCTGTATGACGAAGAGGAGTGTTATCATCTTGCTGCGCTGGCCGCCACACCCACTGAACGGATTTACGCTCGTCGTTGCTGATATAGTCGTTTCCGATGACGTTGCCGATGATGGTCGCTTGGTGACGCCTTGATCTGTGCGGACGGATCCGTTCGTGGTTCGTGGGGGCGGTAGCCCTGGCAGTCGGACCGACGTGGCGAAAAATGCCCTGTCGGAGAAGCCGCCCATGGCTCGCGTGGTATCGCCGGCTGCCGCGAGGCTCGTGCTGTCCGTCTTTTCGGTGTTGGTCCCTCCAGCCAAGCTCCGCGGTAGTGATCCCATCAGTAGGGCAATCTGTATGACGAAGAGGAGTGTTATCATCTTGCTGCGCTGGCCGCCACACCCACTGAACGGATTTACGCTCGTCGTTGCTGATATAGTCGTTTCCGATGACGTTGCCGATGATGGTCGCTTGGTGACGCCTTGATCTGTGCGGACGGATCCGTTCGTGGTTCGCGGGGGCGGTGGCCCTGGCAGTCGGACCGACGTGGCGAAAAATGCCCTGTCGGAGAAGCCGCCCATGGCTCGCGTGGTATCGCCGGCTGCCGCGAGGCTCGTGCTGTCCGTCTTTTCGGTGTTGGTCCCTCCAGCCAAGCTCGGCGGTAGTGATCCCATCAGTAGGGCAATCTGTATGACGAAGAGGAGTGTTATCATCTTGCTGCGCTGGCCGCCACACCCACTGAACGGATTTACGCTCGTCGTTGCTGATATAGTCGTTTCCGATGACGTTGCCGATGATGGTCGCTTGGTGACGCCTTGATCTGTGCGGACGGATCCGTTCGTGGTTCGCGGGGGCGGTGGCCCTGGCAGTCGGACCGACGTGGCGAAAAATGCCCTGTCGGAGAAGCCGCCCATGGCTCGCGTGGTATCGCCGGCTGCCGCGAGGCTCGTGCTGTCCGTCTTTTCGGTGTTGGTCCCTCCAGCCAAGCTCGGCGGTAGTGATCCCATCAGTAGGGCAATCTGTATGACGAAGAGGAGTGTTATCATCTTGCTGCGCTGGCCGCCACACCCACTGAACGGATTTACGCTCGTCGTTGCTGATATAGTCGTTTCCGATGACGTTGCCGATGATGGTCGCTTGGTGACGCCTTGATCTGTGCGGACGGATCCGTTCGTGGTTCGCGGGGGCGGTGGCCCTGGCAGTCGGACCGACGTGGCGAAAAATGCCCTGTCGGAGAAGCCGCCCATGGCTCGCGTGGTATCGCCGGCTGCCGCGAGGCTCGTGCTGTCCGTCTTTTCGGTGTTGGTCCCTCCAGCCAAGCTCGGCGGTAGTGATCCCATCAGTAGGGCAATCTGTATGACGAAGAGGAGTGTTATCATCTTGCTGCGCTGGCCGCCACACCCACTGAACGGATTTACGCTCGTCGTTGCTGATATAGTCGTTTCCGATGACGTTGCCGATGATGGTCGCTTGGTGACGCCTTGATCTGTGCGGACGGATCCGTTCGTGGTTCGCGGGGGCGGTGGCCCTGGCAGTCGGACCGACGTGGCGAAAAATGCCCTGTCGGAGAAGCCGCCCATGGCTCGCGTGGTATCGCCGGCTGCCGCGAGGCTCGTGCTGTCCGTCTTTTCGGTGTTGGTCCCTCCAGCCAAGCTCCGCGGTAGTGATCCCATCAGCAGGGCAATCTGTATGACGAAGAGTGGTGTTATCATCCTGCTGCGCTGGCCGCCACACCCATGGCACGGGCATCCACGTGCGAGATTCCTGGCCGCCGAGGAGTTCGAATGAATCACGATGTTCCGAGAACTCAACCTTGCGCCCAGCGAAATAAAAGAAAAAGGCAAAACACAATGGCTCTCGCTTACACACCACAGGAGTGCCGAAGTGTCATACTGAAGCCATAACTACCAAAGCAACGCCTAATTCGCGTATTTCGGACATGCTAAAGTTTGGCTCTTCTGTGTGCCACCACTAGAGTGCCGAAGCAAGTACCATACTGGAGCCATAACTGTCAACACAATGCCGAATTTGGGTATTTCGGATAAGCCAAAGTTTGTGCCAGACTTGAGCCATAACTGTCGAAGTAATTTCTAATTTGGGAATTCGGGGCACGCCGAAGTTTGGCTCTTTTCTGCTAACCACTGCAGTGCCAAAGAAGTGTCAAAAGTGCAAACGAATACCCAGTGGCCTGCCGAAGTTTGGAATTTCTCTGGTGTGCCACAGAAGTGTGTGCTCTTTCACGTGCTCCAAAAGAAAATTTAAATCCAATAAGCGTTGGAAACACGATAGTCAGATCTTACCATCTGAGTTCCCAAGCAGCACGGTGATACTTGGCAGTGTAGTGCCAGTACCGGCTGAAAGTCGGTTTCAATATCGCTCAAATATCTAGTTTTGCTCCACCGTTTCATATACGGCCGGTAGTGCCGTACAGTCGTTTTGCCCCGGTCTAGTGTTCGCGCTCGCGCAATACCCTGCAAATACTCTACGATGCGCCTGCTCCGTATTGGCCGGACGTCGAGCAAGTCTGTGTTGTATAAGACGTTGCATATAATTTGTCGCATACCAATAACATACACGGACGAACGCATTTTTTTGAACGCTCCCAGAAGTTTATTAAAACACTATCATTACACACAGATCCTTTTTGACAAATTTACAAAGGTGATACTGTTCTTTAAAATGAAGGGCGAATTATAAAATCTAAGTAACACTGACTTCATGCCAAGCAAAACTCTAAAATTAAAACAAAAAAAAACCTCATGGATTGGGAGGAAAGCAGAACTACTTTCAAAAGCATGCTTGCTGTGTACTTACTAATGAAATCGATATCATCTAATCATTGATAAATGCATAATCCCACTCGGGCAGCCCAAAAACACAGTCGAGAAACAAGGTTGCGCATATTCAACTGACCTCATGTCGTCGGCGAGGAGCAGTTTTTGTCGAAGCGCGGCCAACGAACGGAGCACCTGTATACCGGGGACTCCTGCGAAAAAAAAAAAAAAAAGCCCATTACGGAAAAATTGGCGTGGACGTGTTCCGGCTTTTTACAACCAAAAAGCACCGCCGCGTCTGCAACGCACGGAAGCAACAGAAAACTGTAGAGCGCATTTCGGAAACCGGACCTACGTGGATCGCCTATTTCTATCACTTGGTAAACGGCGCAACCAACAGCCCCAGAGATCCCATCAGCGCGACAGAGAGAGTCATGTGACAAACTTTCGTCCAAGCGTTTTTGTACTATAGGTCCTACGGAGTCAGGTTACGCGTTTCGCTCCACGATTCTGATGTGCTTAAGTCGGCCGTCCCGCTCGCTGACAGCCACACGAAGCAGGGCCGGATAAAGAAATATAGAGCCCCCCCCCCCCCCCCTAATATATCTCTATTCTCAGGAAAGTTAGAAACACATCGAACGTTTTCTTGAAGGCACCAATGGCTACATTTACTTCGAACATCCATTTTATACGTATGTTGTTTTCCGGAATGTTTACACCACTAATCCCGTAAGTAGGCGAGACTGTAATCGAAAACTTGTTTACATAAATCTAACAGAAACAACACTGAGCAGCAGGGCAAGAATGTGTACATATGTTACACCACGAATGCACAATGAATGCATATAATAAATACTATGTAATATATAAGGCAACTCGAACGATAAAGTGGATGCTACAGTACAAATGGAAATTGCCAACACTAAGTTACAAAACAATGTACCAAAATGCAAACGTTGGAAATAATTGACAAATACGACACCAAACAAACGATATATATGCTTCTCATGGTCATGCTTTTTTTAATAAATTAGACAAAAAAAACAAAACAATCATCAGCAAGTTTAAATTAGCAAAAAAGCAAATGAGACAATGCTGAGGTTTACATTCTAAACCTGAAAGGATATTGTAGGAATAACAAAAACGAGACGAGGAGCCAACTTGGGCTTTTCTTATTGGCTCTAAGCGCTTTCTTGCCGACGTGAAAGGAAGGATAGATGGCGCGAACATATAAGTATATAGCACAACTAATTCCTTCCTCTTGAATGGCATCTTTCGCGTCTAATTTGGAAAAATCTGAGATAGTTCAAAAAGATAAATCGAGGAGAAGGTCACTCTCTATTGGCATTATAACGAGGGAGTTCAGCTTCCCACTTAGAATGTTGCAACGAAGGCGATTCTTTGTCAGTGACAATTTAGAAAACAATCGCTCGCTTTCACAGTTTGCCACGGGTCTGCTTAGGTATATGCGCAATGCAATCGAAAGGTTTTCAAACAGATGAATACGTTTTCTTTCGTGTAGCAATTGTATTAATCCCAGGGCACTCGTGTCCTAACTGCCATGGGGAACTTTGCAGAAAGTTTGGAAACTGAATTACCCCGGTTTTAAATGCTGGCTTTAAATCATTTTTGTACGTTTTCACCAACTTCTCGGCCTGCTGTGCCAGAGAAATCTCGCTCCCAACTTTTGTCAGCAATTTAAAAACCCGTTCTTCTCGCGGAATTCGGCGTAGGCAACCTTTTGCGCCAGCAAAGCAGAGCCCAGGCTGTCAAGTACGACATTGTAAGTCTCGGTAAGAAGCCTTTCCCTACCTTCTAGCGCACAATCGCTTTTCCGGTCCGGGTACGATACGTTTGCCCTCATCCTGATAACACTGAATGGTACTCAACATGCGTGCTCTCGCCTCAAAGGTATCAAAGAGAGGTTGCAACGAATTAACAAACCCTTCCAGAGAGCTCAGAAGCTCGACAGCAGTCGAAATATCTAAGCCAAGCTTCTGGAGTGCTGCACTGGTTTTGTCAAAACGCTCCAAGATTTCACTCTAGAAAATGGTCATAAACGCGGTCTCGAGCTTTGTCATTTTGTTGAAAAGAGAGTGCGCTTCATTTCGGGTGTCACAGTTTTCTGCTTCGTTCCTTGAGATAGATTCAAGGCACCACTGAACCGCATCGACGTTTTTATGAATGGCCTCATATGATTCGGCATGTCTTCACCACCTGGCATCAAAGAAGCTTTTAGAACAAGGGGTTCACCCGTTTCACTCATGCCGTCTAACTGATTTTTTCACCACCTACGGGAGGCAACAAAGAACGCATACAGTTTCTGAGTTAGACTAAAAACTTGGTGGCCTCAAGGCAACTGTCGACGCTACACGCGACAACTTAGTTTAGTCAATGGCCTACGCACGGGACGTAAACGGCCAACATGTTGAGGTATTTAACTTGCGCTTGCAGTCCTTTGTACTTCCCCCAGACATTACTCGCGTTGTCACTATCCTGGCCCCTGCAGTCGTGAATTGAGATGTTGTTGCTTGCCAACAGAGACATCGCGGTATCGAAAATATACAACCGTATGCGATTCAATCGGAACAAAGCCAAGAAAGCGTTCATGCACTTCTCCATCTAAACAGTAGCGTAAAACAACTGGCAGCTGTTCAACACGGTGGCCATCTTAAATGGCCGTTTTTTTTTATTTACTTTTTAAAAACAGAAGCATGTGATTGGCATATAATGGCTTTTGAAGGCCTCCATAGCGTTCTTCTAATTTAGAAAGGCCTTCGTTACAAAAGAACCCAATCCTGGTTTTTCCCTTAGCACATTCATGCGCAAACACTAGAAGATACTTGCATAATGCTCCTTATAAGTGCTCTGAATAAGTCACCCACGGGTAACTAGCCACCCAGTGAGGTTTGAACTTGAGGTTTTGTTTGCTTGTGGCTGGACAGTTGTAGTTACCAGGAGCAGTCCCCAGGGATTTCGCATCAACTTTTTCTTCAAAACTGTTTGATGCACACTTTTAGATACAAGAAGTCCTAGATCGAGAGGATTAACAGTGATGGTACCTGAGGTGCATGAGTCGGAGCATGCGGAGGCTGCATCACCCCCCTCGTTTGTGTCTCGCATCATCAGCACACGTTCGTTGGCTTCACTAGTGCTTGAGACTCCAGGAAAAGCGCACAGTTCACTTCCTTTCAGAAGTCTCTGGGGCTGAAGGTTGTCGACGCTTTTGCTTTATTCGACATAACTTGCAGAAGGGAAGTCAGCGAGAGATGCACTCAAGCCGCAACCATTTGCAACTTGAATGTGGTCTTCATGCTCGTCGGTGGCTGGACTTCGTTCCGAGTCAGTCGCAGCCGAAACACCGCGGTCTTCGGACACCCGCAAGTCAATATGATTATCCTTACATGCTTGGGTTTGAAGTTCCCCAGATGTAGATATTTAATATTAAATATATTAAGCCTGTATGCTAGAATTCATAAATTTCTATAAAACTCTTCGCAAAGCATAGACTTGGCCGAGACTGATTAAGAGTCTCGTCCTCTCCCGCAGTGTAGAAGGCTGCTGCCTCGCTAGACCAAGAGGAGGTAGGAAGAGGAGTCCAGAGAACAGCCAAAATGGTCTAGCACGCTGGCTGCACACCAGGCGGTCTGCCTGCAGCGTGTCACTCGACACATACACATCGTTATATGCGCTGTAAAGGCTAGTGGTGGGGGTGTCTTGGGGTCTTCGTGGGGAACGCTCAGGAAGGAAAGAAGGATACAGGGGGAGAAGAAACGAAGTAAGAACAGGCGTCTCCTTGATGTGTAGGAAGAACTAACAGGGGAACTACGACACACACACACACACAAACACACACACATGCTTTCAGCTTACGACAAAAGTTATTTATTTGGCCGAATTCCGCCCCAGTAAAAATGACTTGGGTGAGAGAGAACCGA